ATATGATGAAAGCCAAAAGCTTCTCGACCGTATGCAATAGAATCTCAATGGTACTGAAACCAAATATATGAATGGAACATATAACATGTAGTACACTATAATATGTAAAATGTTTTAAAAGGAATAGATTTTCGGTCATTTTGTTGTTGAAGTTCTTCATATATACAACGTCAAATAATGGTAGCAAGTTTTGCACTATTTATTATACAATTTAAATTTAATTGTTTCTACGTGATTTCATTGTAAAAGTGAACGACTTTTTTCGCTTCCTTTTTTCGAATATTGCATCAATAATTCAAAAACATTTAAGGAAAAGAAGAAATTATCGTCTTATTGAAATAGATAAGTAGTAACCAAGAAAAATGGTTATAAACGTTAATAATCATAATAATTAGATTAATTATAATAAAAGGCCATTGGAGCAGATTTAGAAACTAGAAATCTTTAGTTTAGAGTTAGGCACCGATGTTTAGGATTGTAAGAGATAAATATTTTAATATGGGTCCTGTTATAGCGATTAGGACAATGGTGGTCCGATATAATTCCTTAATTTTATCGCGGGATTCACTGTACTTTTTCAAGTTCAAGAATTTTCTGCAAAAAACTGCAAATCCGCTACGATGAGAAAAAAGACCTATGAAAAAATGAATGCGATGAGATTATGGGGCAGCCCTTCATTATTAATGTCAAAAATGGACCATCTTGAAAAATTTTCTATTGTTTTAAGTACAAATTTAGAAAGGAACTCTTTATTTTTCTGGCAATGGCTTTATCTGCACGACACGTAAAATGAGATGCAATCAATATAACGCTTCTCTGATATTAACTAGTATTGTTATTAATTAAGATCTATTACGACTATTGAAACTAGGCGTTTTAAACTGAATGGAGAGTACCATGAACTGGATTGCACTTGCGAGGTCCATTACGCCAGTTTCTGTCTCTTGGCGCGAAAAAGATGCGCTCAGCCATTAGCGCAATCGTTCTTAACTTTAACACTTCTAATATTTCAAAATTGAAGTAATAAGCCTAAAGTCTGATTAGATTTTAATTTTAAAATTTTGGTTACAATTCTAATTTTTTTAAGAAAATAGAATTATACATATCAGATATATAAAATATCTACATAAATGTTATGTATATCAATTCAATTCTTTTTGTGTTAGTCGATTATTCCGATTTTGCTGTAAGCAGATTGTTTTTGCAAGCATTTTTGCGAATGGTTGCCTCTACTTTGTCTAAAATTATTAAAAGCAAAATTAATCGAAAAAAATTTAGAACATTGTTGAGACATGGAAATAAAACACAAAATACTGTGGAAAAATAACGTATAAAATATTTTGGAATAATTTTTGCAGCTGCCAAAACATAATTCATGAAATCATTTGAGTGTAACAAAAGAAACATGCCTGTCGACTAACGAGGAGGGCCAAAAAAATAATGGTGACTTGTGTAAGGCGTCGTACTATGACTATAGGCACTGTTAGGTGTCGAATATCCATTGTAAGGATTGTGATGATATGCTGTGCCGTCAATCATTTGTTGATAATAAGAGCTATTATAGATATACGTGTTAAGCTCTTGCCGGTGATAAGAAGGAGGTCCATGAGGAATTGAATGAACGAGTGGTGCAACTGAACTCGAAGTGGGCAATAAAGGCTGAAATATATTTTAACTCTTTTCTTCTTCTAATAACTCTCACCATTAAGCCGACTGCGCGAGATACAAGGGTGAGATTTTTAAATTAATCTTTTATCAGTAAGGCTTTTTATTATTATCAAATTGCTTACAATTAGGAAATAAATTTTTTCTCAATAAATTTAGTGAATCCAAGATTAATAATACTTGGTGTTCATTGCTCGGCCATAAGCTCAGTTTATTATTAGTTGGAGATCCATTTGAAGGAAAGGTTTCAGATAGCCTTTCGCTTGCTTCCTTTTTTGATCCAATTTTTTGCGTATTTTGAGCACTGTAGTCATTGGAAATCGACCTCCTCTGTCGTGGGCTATAATATTTTATGACTAACTGATCTTGAATTAGTAAGGAAAATTAACTTTGTATTTAAAAATTTGAAATTTGTAACATATTAACGCTCGGGAAAAATAAAAAAATGCAGCGATTTAGAAATCCTTTTTTGGCTTGATTGACTTCTCTTTTACTGCATACTCGTGATTGGCCTTCATTTGGTTTTTACTTATAAGGACAAGTTCGCTCCTAGCAATGAAAAGAAACAGAGGCGATATTGTTTGCCTTTTTGAAAATTGAGAACTCATCTTATACACAAAAAAGGTAAAAATAAATAAAACAATAAATTTTATCAACTTTGATTCTGGTTCACTCGCGATCTGTCCAAAAGTCTCCGATTGTGATGTATTATGTTGCCTTTCAGGTGACTGCGTAGGATTCGTTCTCTGTTGATTTGACTGCGAAGTTGCAGGCATATTATTGGATTTTTGATTAGTTGTGACATTTTTCTTGGGTTTTTGTTTCTCTTGCTGACGATGCTTTGCTCGTCGGTTTTTGAACCATACCTAAAAAATAGCAATTAGTGCTTCGATACCACCAGTATAATTCAAAAACTTTCTAATCATTCTCGAAATTCTTTATAGTCGAGTGATTAAAGTAGGTGCAATTCTTCATTAAATCCAACTAAGATCCATTTAAAGAAATTTCGGAAACAATTTTGGAAGTCAATTCAGTGATGGGTTGGCAGGAAGATGGAAAAACAGTGAAAGAAAATTAATCTCAGATAAAGTACTGAGTGGAGAAGCTCAGAAGCGTAATACTTTAGTAGCCAATGGAGTCAGCTGAATCAACAATTATGCGAATTATTAGAAGAGAGTTAAATTAATTAACATATAAAGAATATATCGAAATTGTTTCATCTAACGCAGACGGCAACTAATAAGCGAAAATCAACCAAGATTCAATTCTTATGAAGCAAGCAATTTTAGTCATTTCACTGGTATGTGGGAAAAGAATAAAAAAATTAAGAAAAATTCAAAAATCTAATAATAATGAAATTAATTTTGCTGGTATTGTTTCTTTAATTTTAAATTTTAAATATAAATATTTCTTATTTTAACAGCTCAATTCAATTTCATAATAATTCATTGAAGATTAACGCTGGTTTTATAGCATTATAGAGATTTGATCAGATGCTAGAATTTTAGTCGGTAGTTTATGGTGCTTAAAGACTATTGAGACGCATAATCTGATGAATGGCGTGAACTAATCAAATATCGATGATTTTTTATAGCTCTGGTCAAACAGACGTGTGCCAGAATAGGATGATCTCTGGCTCTAGTTAGTCAACCTGTGATGATAATCTCATGTGTTCCTTCCTTATCTTTCTACTGAATTCATCAATTCACATTTCATAAGTGTTTTCCTCAATATTTTCTTTTAACTTCCAAACTTAAAAGAGGCTTGCAAGCTTATAATAGCCGTTCTTATCATTATTGCTACCGCTTATTCATTTTTTAGTAACAAATATAAAATGCCTATCGATAATGTAAAATTAGAAACTTCGCACTTAATTAACTTCAAGTGATCTGAATATTTAGATGCATGGAAAAATATTTATTCTATATGAAAGCTTTTAAATCATTGTTTTTGATTTTCGGTGATGAAAAGTAAAGATTTATATTAGAATATCCTTTATTATTTTCATCTGAGATATCAGAGACAAAATGATTTCACGATCTATTTAAATATTTAAATAAATCTAAATGTAGATAAATGTAAATCTTTTTTTTTAAATTCCTCTAAAGATAACCGCAAAAATAGGCCTTTTTTGAAATAAATTTGGGAGAAAGATGAACGAATTTCATAGCTAAACATACCTGCACACGACTCTCCTGTAATTGTATTTGGTTAGCAATCTTCTCACGTGTGAAGACATCAGGATAATGCGTTGTCGCAAAAAGATTTTCTAAAATTTCTAATTGTTGCCGACTGAAAGTTGTTCGTTCACGTCGATTTTTACGTGTAATCATGCCTAAATATTAGCAACTAGAAAAGAAAAGAATGACCAATGATTCTGCGAAATTGAAATATTTTCAAACTAAATTTTTTGTTGAATTGTGAGAAAAACGGCTGAAATCTTATTCATAACTTTATGAGTATTTAGCCTTAGTTTTTTAGCAGTTCATTAAATTATCTGAAAAAATTTTGAAATTTGAATTTTGATTTTTCTATTTTAAGGAAAAAATAGAAATAGAAAGAGATTTTACCAGTGGAATAGTTATTTGGGAATACTCCCATTTGTGCCATAGGATGAATCGGTGCATACTGTAAAGCCTGACCAGTTGTGCTTCCGGGTAGATGAGCATAGGGAGTGAATGGAACCGTACTGTACATATAGTCACAATTGCTCGAAAATGCAATTGTTTCTTGTTTCTTTTCTTGCTTATTATGTGAAGGTTATTTGAAGATATCGATTATGGGCAATAGCAAAGAAGTTTTCTGATTTTCCGGCTGCAAAGACATTATTTAGACGAATTATTAGCGAGAAAAAGTAGTATTTTACGAGAAGTATTTTAGGACGAAAAATAGATAAACAAGTATAGAGGAGAATAACAAGTTGATATAGCATCCATCTAAGTTTTGTCGTAGCTAATCGAAAAGATATATGAAAATTCACAACGGAAAGAAACGAGGGGAGATTGTTGAAGAATCTGTTAATGCTGGCCTGTTAGCCAAATGCCCTTTTTTCCGGTATTCTTAGTTCAATTTACCTAATGAAAAGTTGTTTTAAGCATAGTGTGAAAATTATGGTAGGTTCAAGCACAAATAGTAAAATTGAGCCGAGAAATAGCGATTAAATTGGCGAATAAAAGTAAGCAATTATTAAAAATTAATTAGTGTCATTAAAATAAAGTTAAAGTTAATAAAATTAACTAATCGCAATTATTATAAGTATTAAAGACCGTAAATTAAATTTATGACCTTTTAAAGGAAAAATATTTTCGCATTATTCTTTTTTTAAATGCTCGTAAAAATTAAAATAAAGTCGATATTTTTCTATTTCTTATTTCATCGATATGGACCATTATCACTTAGCCATAGATTATTACTCAGGCTGATGCTGAATTTTACGGTTTATAATTGCTTGATAAGAATATGACGAGTTTACGAGGTTGACTTTTTTAGAGACGGTTTTTTAGTTGTCTCTTGGATTAAGCAGTTACTTGGAATAGATTCGATTTATTATAATTTATTATTTATTATAATTTATTTATTATTTATTATTTATTATGATTCGAAAAATAGTTCGAAAAATTTTTATCTTCAGTTCATAAAAATTCAGCAGATATTTGCAAAATTTCGAAATCGCAATATTTCACTTGCTTTTAAATGATAAGAAAATGAATATAAAACAAATAAAATTTTCGTCGGAATGTCCAATCAAATGTAAGTTGGATGTTTTTAAATGATTTAGGTTGGTTGTTGAAATATGACCCCGAAGAGAAGATTGCAAGCCATCACTATTCACTAAGCTGGTTATAAAGAAGATATTATAAAGAAAATATTAAATGAAGGATCCAAATAACATGTTATGATAGAATTTCGATCGTAGAAGTCTATTCTTTATTAGATTAATATTACTTTCATACAATATTACTGAGATTGTGTAAGAAATTATTCTACCGTATAAACTTGCATATCATCGAAATGAGTTAATAATTGAAAGCAGTATCTCAAAATTCTTTTATTTTAGGTCAAATATTTGAACTAATTGATCTATTTCTCTATTATAAGTACGAAAGCCTTTTTAATAACATAAATTCCCATTACTTTGCTGATTTTTTCCTTTAATTTTTTAGATAAGCAACTAAGATATCTTAATTTTGCGATATCTTACTATCCACAAAATACTGACCGGTGAAAAAGAACCTTTTAATTTATTGAGTTAGAAAAAGCGATTGCAACTCTCAAGTTTAGCTAATAATTCTTATCACTTAAAAATATTCAAAAAAATTTTTGCAAATAGTCTTAAAAATGCACTAATCATAGGAATTATAGTAGATACTATATGATAATAAATAATAAAGTGAGACCATAAAAAAAAATTTTGATAGAGTCAATTGCTGATAGAAATGCAGATGAGTCCTTGAAAATATTTTTATTTTAAAAATATTTTTTAAATATATTTTATATTTTTATATAATGTATAATGTATATTTTTTTATAATGTATATATAATATTTGTTCACTATATGTAAATATATATTTTTTCATTATATATATAATATTTATTCATTATATATAAATATATTATACACTTTTTAAAGAGCTAGGAGAGCTATTTTATGGCGAAATATGCTCAGCAAAATTTTGATGAGAAAATTTTCTTTAGGAGCTTCCTATTTTTTCTTTTTTCATTTCTTCGCTTTTTTTGCAGAAAAAAATAAAAAATTCGAAACACTTCATGATAAAATTATCGACAGAAAATTGAGCAAAAGGTTTCTATTCGTAAACTTTTAATTAATTAAAAAATTATTTTTTATAAATTTAGAAAGTTTTGAAAAATTTCTCAAAAGTTTATATTTATTAAACTTTTATAAAAGTTTTTCTAGAAAAATATTACGAGGAGATCTGCAAATACTAATCATTTATTTTAAAAATTTAAGAACGATTAGAATATAACGAGAAAAAGAAACGATTAGAAAAAGAAACTATAAAATCACTTTTTTCGTCACTTTTGTCATAATTCTTTATAAAAATTTATAGCAAACCTTAATGTTGACAAAACGATTATTGCATAATAATATATAGCCCTAATTATATTTTTGTTTCTACTTTATATCGTTTTATTAATCCGATTTGTGGCTTTTTACTTTTATTCGAGCATTAAATTTTAAGAAATAAATTTTCATTACAGAAAAAAAATAATCGCTGTTATCGGAGGTGTTTTTTTATAATTTTGCGGCTTAACAAGGCAATGATTTGCGCTGAATTATACTATAGTATTTAATAAATAGAGTGGTTTCCACTTCCATTGATAAACTGATGAATTTTATTTTTTTATAATTTGATATGGTTTTAACTATTATTGGTACTAAACTTTTTTCAAACAAAATATAAAAGAAATCGAAAATATTTGTTTTTCCATTAATTATAATATAATAAAGCAGATATTAATATTTATAGCCTCGTAACCTACAAGGTTACTTTAATTTTTTATATCTTGGCGCAAAACTCGTCACCTGAATTTTAAAACTTTTTTATTTAAATGGCTTATTTATTTAAAAAATATTTATATTATTTATTATGGAATCCATTTGGGAATATAATGAGGAAATGATAGATGCAAAATTACACTAAAATTCATAAACTGGTTTCGAATGAAAAACTATTGCAAATCCTTGAAAAATAACTATTGATATCAACTTGTTTCTACTAACTTTTATGCTAAAAAATGATAGTATTTGCAAATGATATCATTATATCATATCCCATTTCCATAATATCATTTCCATGGCGATTTATGAATCAGTTGATTTATTTGTCAAATTCATCATTTTATTCAATTTCATTTTTGAGCAACAAAATCTCAACAAAATCTGAGTTAAATTTGTGAATGATATTTAAGAAAAAGTACACATTGTCGCAATTTACTTTTTTTCTTTTTAATCTTCTTATAAGTACCCTACAAGCATAACGAAAAATTCAAATCAAATAAATCATGCGAATAAAAGTAAAGTTTTGATATGAAAGGCAATTTCAACAACTGCAAATCTTGATAACAATAATGAATAATGAATGATAAAATACTGATAAGGACTAAAGAAATATTGTATACAAATTGGGTATGTCGTTGAACAAATTTATTACTTTTAAAATTAAACCACACCTTTGAAATAAATGTTAGTGGGCGAGGCCTTCAATAGCCAATCAACTCTTTGCTACTGTAATATTAAAATTTTTCGCTAAAATTCATGAAATTCCAGAAGAAATATCCGTAAGGAAACAATGAATACTAGTTGAAATATTTTGCAAAAATACTATATTGAGAGATGAATTTTGCAAGCAAACATCGATAAGATCCTATACAACTGATGTGAAATTAATTTTCTTAGTATCATTAAAATACTATTTCTACGAACAGTTTGGAGAATTTTGATTAAAAAATCCTAGAAATTTGATAAATATATTCGAATTGAAAGTATAAATCTTTTTCAGTCATAGGGAAAATATTTAATAAAACGTTGTCATGACAATTTGAACAGATTGAATATTTAATGAAATCCTACAAAAGCTGAACAATAAGGATATTAGAAAGGATAATCTTCATTTAAAAACGCAAATATATCATTTAGAAACTCCATAATCTACTAATAAGTCGATCAGTTTTGATAGAATTTATCTTGGATTAACTATTTTATTATGAAAAAATTTGCTGAGCCTATTATATTAGATAAAGATTTTTGATTGCATTAAAGTACCTTTCATAAATCTTTTAGCGTAAAACAACGTTTTTTAATAAGATTAAAGGTAAAACTGGATAATTCAGGATATAAGCAAAAATAAAAGATAAAAGTAAAGTTGACCAAACTTGGCTAAATTGACTGCAATTATATTCATCCGCTCATTGTTCAAAAAAATTGGTAGAGAAATTAATTAAAAATTTCTATGGAGGAATTTGGCTTCACATGAAAAAACAAATTCCCACTAATTGAGATTAAACAACTACTTAATTGGGCATGAATTTCTCTTTTAAATGGTTTTCTCTCTCGAGAGGTTTTCCAGTAGAATCTTTTATTTTACGTCTCTTGCGATATTCCTTCTTTCCAGAATATCTTTTTATATATCCTCCTTCAGGTGTGCAGAGGTATATCGTAATCAAAATATTGTTCAATAATAATTTTCTCAACCACTTGTTCGCAACCCATAAAAAAAATTTTGAAATCAAATGTATAGGAATATAAGCTTAAAAATGAACATAAATGGATAAAATACAAACTTATTAATTTACATATTCACTTTCAGAAGCCGTGGCGTCAAAATATCAAATCTCATCATAAACTGGAGTATTTTCTCAAAAAACCTATTTCATCTCACTGATCATCCTCAAACGCTACCAAATATTTCTTGGTAACATTTAAAAAATCTATCTTGCAAGATTTCAAAAAAATCTTGCAAATAATTAGAACTAAATAAGTCGCCACAGTTGAGTGATTACTATATTGTTAAACTGCAATATATTTTCTGGAGGAAGTCAGTCAGCAAACAAAAATTTGTGAGACATTATTACGATAGTGTGATTTCTGATTTCTCTGATCAAATCACCTGAAATTTTGTTGACAAAGGATTAAATATTCAGCAATGAAAGCTAAAGCTAAATATAAATAAATAAG